CCCCCGCCCCCCGCCTCTCTCCCCGGCAGCCCGCAGCGAGACGCGCCGCTCCCCAGCACTTTTTTGGGCCCGAGATATGGCAATGGTAGTTAGCAGCTGGCGAGATCCGCAGGAAGACGTGGCCGGGGGCACCCCGAGCGGCCCCAACCCCGCCGCGGCGCAGCCGGCCCGGGAGCAGCCGCCCCAACAGCAGCAGGGGGGTTCGGCCGCCCCGCACACCCCGCAGACCCCCAGCCAGCCGGGACCCCCTTCCACGCCGGGCACGGCCGGGGACAAGGGAGCGGGCCAGCAAGGCTCGGGGCAGAGCCAGCAGCACATCGAGTGCGTGGTGTGCGGGGACAAGTCCAGCGGCAAGCACTACGGCCAGTTCACCTGCGAGGGCTGCAAAAGTTTCTTCAAGAGGAGCGTCCGCAGGAACTTAACTTACACATGCCGCGCCAACAGGAACTGTCCCATCGACCAGCACCACCGCAACCAGTGCCAGTACTGCCGCCTCAAGAAGTGCCTCAAAGTGGGCATGAGGCGGGAAGGTGAATATTTCTTCCCTACTATGCTATCGCTCCCCCCCTCTCCCCGCGGCTCTGCGAGGCGTGCGTGTGCCAGGGCTCTCCGTCTGTGTGTCTCTCTGCCTGTGCATACGCGCACACACGCGCACCTATATGCCTATACATATATATACAGGCGCGCACACGCGTGCGGATACCGGCAGCGATATAGAGATTTTTATATATATATATACATATATATATATATACACATATATATGTGTACGGCTCTCCGCGGCGATCTAGGTCTCTCTGTATTTCCGTGCACATGTCAATCTCTCCCTCTGCCTGCACTCCATCTGGCAGCTTTGCGCCAGGTTTTGTTGTTATTGTTGATGGTGGTTGGTGGTGTTTTCTTTTGCTTTTCGGTTTGTGCCTCCTGCCCTCCTCCCGCTCCTCCCCACCACCACCCCCCCCCCTTTTCCCCGGCACCGCCGCGCTCGCCCCTTCCCCGCTCATTGTGCCGAGAATTTATTATTAGTAGTAGTATTGCCATCGCTCGCTAAATATTTATCGTTTAGCCCCTGTCCCCGCTCCCGCGCGCGCGCGTGTGTGTGTATGTGTGTGTGTGTGTGTGTGTGTGTGTTTGGATGTGGTTTTGTCTATTGTTGGCATGAGACTGGGGGG